ATTATTATATACACTAGAAAGCAATTTTAAAAAAATTGGTCAGGGATAATATTTCCAACCTATTGACTGAGGTTCTTTGTCAGATGAAAAGAGAAGACATATACCATGAAAAATACAATTACAGTGCTATTTGAGAGAGGAATATTTAATTCTTAAGGAAGAAAAAATACTATAAATATTACCTTTCTCCAGAGAAATAGCCATCAAAGTTTTCTAAAAGACAGATTTCTTTCGTCATCGTCATCTTCTTTTTCTTCATTTTTTCAGTATTTTTTGTGTTATTTATTACTTTTCGAAATGTTTACTTTTCTTTAGATTTTTATAAAGGGGGGGGGGGAGGTTAGGCCATGTCTATGCTGAGAACTTGTTTCAATACTCTTTATTGTTAAAGATGTAACCAGATGCTTACCTAAAATGTTTGATCTTCTGTCTTTCAGTGGAAAGCTCCTTTTTAAACCATAGATAAACCTAGGTCAGGAGAAAGGCATTCTCTTGCTTTATGAACAGAGGAAGTAATCTGGGTGCATGTTTTAGCGATATCTTACTCCTCACATAGGAATAAAGCTAAATCTAGAGCTGGTTTCCAGTTTAATATCTTTCATTGAAAGCCGGACCTTCTGAAATCCAATGCAAGGTAGAACTCACAAGTGGGGATTTTGTTTTGTGAGGGGCTAATTTCACTAGTCAGTTCAGCTCTAAATCCATATTCCTTCCCCACTTGGCTTATATCTGTACAATTGCTATAATGCAGTGTATAGAGTTTTATGAACACCTTTTACATAGGTTTAAATCTGATATAAATTAACTTTACTGTACTTAATATGATTTATACCAATCAAGAAGGAACAAAAAATCCTTTTTTTGGTGTACAACTGCAGGAAAATTTGACATTAAATGATATTAACAGTGTAGTGACAACTTTTATTTAGGTTTCAGAGTAGCAGCCGTGTTAGTCTGTATCCTCAAAAAGAACAGGAGTACTTGTGGCACCTTAGAGACTAACAAATTTATTAGAGCATAAGCTTTCGTGGGCTACAACCCACTTCTTATATGCATCCGAAGAAGTGGGTTGTTGCCCACAAAAGCTTATGCTCTAATAAATTTGTTAGTCTTTAAGGTGCCACAAGTACTCCTGAACTTTTATTTAGGTGCTGCTGTTAGGGTACAATGGTTATTTTGTTGTGTATGTTTGCTTTTATGTTTAATCTCTATTATAGTGTATAATAACCACTTTTTTCTTATTGAATATTTGCTCTGACATATATTTAAACCAAAATAAGATATACTGTTGATAAACGTTTATATAATACCTATTAGCAGCTATTATTTTATGCCTCCTTCATGTTATGACTATATCATCCACACACACCTGACAAAATATCTACCTGTTGCACATCTGTTCTCCTTTTTAATCCCTTTGGCCCTGATCCAAAGCAGAAGCTTTCCATTGACTTCAATGTTTTATTAGATCACTCCCTAGTGCATCCACCCTAGGATCCAAAATCTACACATTTAGAAAGACAAGGTGGGTGAGGTAACATCTTTTATTGGACCAACTTCTGCTGATGAAAGAGAGAAGCTTTCAAGCTATACAGAGCTCATCTTCAGGTCTGGGAAAGTTACTCAGAGTGTCAGAGCTAAATACAAGGTGGAACAGATTGTTTAGCATTCTAAGGGGCCATTCAAGGTGAAGTGACATTTTAATGTCTCTGTAGTCACAGAACAAAAAAGGGGTGGTTAATGTGTTACAGATTGTTGTAATAAGCCATAAATCCAGTGTCTTTATTAAGAACATGATTTTTAGTGTCTAGCAAAGTTATGAATTTAAGCTCCCAGACTTGTCTTTGAAGATGTTGTGCAGGTTTCCTTTGAGGATGAGGACTGAGAGGTCAGATATGCAGTGATCGTTTGGGGAAAAGTGTTCACGCACAGGTGATAAGGTGTTTTTGTCTTTTATCGTTTTTCTGTGTGAGTTCATTGGAGAGCCTAGTGATTGACTGTCTGATTTCACCCACATAGCTGCTACTGAGTCATTTAGTACCCTGGATGAGGTACACCACATGTTGTGATAGGCATGTGTAAGACCCACGGATCTTGAAAGTTGTGTTGTGGGGGGGGTATTGATCATTGTAGCAGTAGAGATATGTCCGCAGGTTTTGCATCTGTTGTTATGGCAGGGTCTGGTGCTGGTTTGAGTTGATGAGTCAGTGGGGAGCTTCCATCTGATGATGAGCTAAGTGAGGTTGGGGAGTTATTTGAAGGCCAGAATAGGGGGCTAGAGAAAGATTTGGTGCCCATCAAGTATGGGTTGTAACTGTTTAATGATAATCCAAATGGGTTCCAGTGTGGAATGGTAGGTGACAACTAGGGGTGTGTGCTTCGACTTTTTTCCCCCCTGTATTTCAGCAGGTTCTCTTGGAGTATTTGGGTGGCCTGTTCCATGTGATCTACTTCTCTGGTGGAGAGTCCTTGTTTGGTGAAGGTGGTATTAAGTGTGTTAAAGTATGTATTCTGAATTTTCTCCTTGGAGCATATTCTGTGGTATCTGAGTGCCTGGCTGTAGATAACAGATTTCTTGGTGTGTTTGGGGTGGTTACTGGATCTGTGAAGGTAAGTGTGGTGATCTGTGGGTTTCTTGTATACAGTTGTCTGTAGGGTTCCATTGTTGAAGCTAAACAATCTGTTCCATCTTGTATTTAGTTCTGACACTCTGAGTACCTTCCCCGAGCTGAAAAAGAGCTCTCTGTATCCCAAAAGCTTGTCTCTTTCACCAAAAGAAGTTGGTCCAATAAAAGATATTACCTCATCCATTTTTCTCTCTAATATCCAGGGACCAACACAGCTACAACAACTCTACACTTTTAGAAGATATGTCCATCTTAGTCTTTGCAGTTTTCTAATCTTTTACTTGATTGCTGCCATTTTAGATCTTTTTTTTTTGCTTACACTCCACAATTTGTACAACATGCCAATAGAATGAGTTGCAGCTTCCTTACACTCAATCAGTCAATTCCTTAACCTCCATATTAACACCGTCATGAAAATGTGAATGAGGGTTTCCACCAGCCTACTCTTTCTTGCACAGTACCCGGCCAGAGTGCTACCTAAGGGCAATTGGTGTTTATACCCTAGAAGCTCATACTTCCTTCTGGTCATTAAACTTTTAAGTGCTTCAGATAACCTAACAATGTTTTCAACTGATTCTGTGCCATTCTGAAGCTTCAGAAAGGCCACAAGTCACTATAAATACCTTGAAGACAATTTGTATGAGGCAGTGAGGTCCAAGAGACTTGTCACGATCAGTACTGGCTAGTTTTTAATGGATAAGGCACTACTGTTGCTGAAAAAGTAACCTCCAAATGCCATGAAGAGGTCACTATTTTTCTCTATTTTATTACCGTTGAGCACATAAAAACATAGTAGGAGCTTTACATAAACAAATAAAGACACTCTCTCTTCCCCAAAGAACTTACAAACAAAATTCATACAGGACACAAATGAGGGTTGTGACGTGTTGGACCCCCCTTCTGGGGTGCCACCTGATGTACTGGGGTCCCACTGAGCCTGCCTGTTCCACCAGCCTGGGCTCCCTCACCCTGTCCTGCTATGCCAGGCCCTCAAGCCTCCTCTAGTACACACACAGGTAGAGCCACACCCAGCTGCAAAAGGACACACACATACTGAAATCAGCTCTGTGTGAGAAGACTCATCCTGGGGATTGCCCAGCACTCAAGTGCATACCCCCTCTGCAATGTAAACCCAAAAAGAGATCTATACAGCGTAAACTCATGAAATTCGCTCCCTCCCTCAATGTGGAAGAAGATATGCACAACTTTTGCCTCCTCCCCCCCCCCCCCAGTTACTGAATTACACAAACTGGTTATAGAATAAACAAAAACAAGTTTATTAACTACAAAGCGTAGATTTTAAGTGATTATATGGGATAGCAAACAGAACAAAGCAGATTACTGAGCAAATAAAACAAAATATGCAACCTAAACTTAATACACTAAATTAACTAGTTAATACACCTCTGACCCGATATAACACGAATTCGGATATAACGTGGTAAAGCAGTGCTCTGGGGGGGCAGGGCTGCGCACTCCAGCAGATCAAAGCAAGTTCGATATAATGTGGTTTCACCTATAACGCGGTAAGATTTTTTGGCTCCCGAGGACAGCATTATATCGGGGTAGAGATGTAGTAACAAATTCTCACCCTAAATGTTGTTTTATGCAGGTGGCAGAGTTTCTTGATGGTAAACTACACTGCTTGCAGCTTAAATCTCCAGGTATTCCTTTCACAGGCTAGATCTTTCTTGGGTGTTTTCAACAGTCTTCCTTCTTGGGTGGGGAGGCAGTGGAGAACAACCTAGATTAACTCACTCCCCAGCCTTAAATAGGATTTGCATATGGCAGGAATCCTTTGGTTCCCAGTTTGACCTCCACCAGGTGACATGATCACCTGACCCTGAAGTGTCAAAGCAACATCCCAGGAAACTTCTCAGGAAGGAGGGAGATTAGCATCTTCAAAATCCTATTGTCCTTCCTAATGGCCCATCCAGGCTGATTGCACATTGTCTGGTGAGCGTTTCCCAAGTTACAACACAGTTGTAATTGTTACATAGTCAATATTCCTAACTTCAGATACAGAAATGATACATGCATACAAATACAATAATCATATTCAGTAAATCATAACCTTTCCATTGATATCTCACATGACCCCTCTTGTCTAAAATATATCTTAGTTATGCCATATTCATATCATAAGCATATCTATGAAGAATATGGGGCATAGGGTCACAAGGGTAATAAACAAACAAAGGGTGGAGAATGGAAGATGTATGACAAGGGTTGAATACAAAGAACACTCAATTGCTCAGCTGAGCTGTACACATCATGACAATTCCCCTACATTTGTGCTGTATTTTTCCTCCACCCAACTCAGAGGTGCAAGTACATGTGCTCCATATAAAGAAAAGCAAAAATATACTTTCAGCTTCAAGCTCTTTTTTTTTTTTAGATTTAAAGAACAAACAAGAAAGAACAAAAGTAAAATCTCCATGAAAGAGCATACAGTGTGTGTCAACTCTGCACTGTACACACAATGGAAGCAGGGAGAGGGATTTGAAGGGGCAGTACAAACACACACACAAGCAAAAAGACACTACATACCAAGGTACAGACACCACATCAACTCTTGTGGAGCTTTGTTTAGGTATGCAAGGCAATCCTAAATGCCTATGAATGTGGGAAGCACCAGATATCTGAATCCCTGCAGTTGTATGCTGGATTTAGGGCCGTATTTTCAAAACAGCTCGTGGACAGATTTTCAAGTGCTCAATACCCACAGCTGGAGCCAGATTTTCAAAAGAGCTCAGCACCAGTCACGTCCCACTGTGCTGCTTTTGGCTGCATTTTTAAAAAAGAACATTTGAAAATCTGGCTGCCTATTTTGGGGGCTAAAAGTAGCTGAGCTCCATTGACAATCTGGACCGAGGAGGCTAAAACTTAGCCATGGTGGTAGGATGAAGCTAAAGGCACACCTGCCAATGCCTCATGACAAAGAGTAGATTTTAATTTGCATAAAGTACACAACTTTGTGTAAATTAAGCTAATGTGAATAAATCTCTGCTGGACAATGCAAAGGGTTCTCACTTCTCCTCAACCCACAAATAACAATTTCTGTGCCACTCCAGCCTCATCTCTATCTGTTCCCCAACCCCACATCAGTTCATTTTGCACCCATACCATCCCTATATCAATTAATTATATACTTCCCAGCCCATCTCATCAGCCCCACACCAGTTTTGAGCTCCCAGCCCCAAATGAATGGTGCACCTCCCTGCCCATCTGTAAACCAGACCCCAAATCAATTAGTTTTGGCCTGGGGGGAGATGTACAGGGGTTTTTCACCCCCACTCCCAGGCTGGGGGGCAAGTTCCATGGGCTTTTAACCCCCCTCCCTTCTCCCACACCTGGAGTGACAGGGAGGAGAACAGGGAAGTGGGGAGGAGCAGAGGTGTGCTGAGTTATTGTTCACAGGAGGGGAGGGGAAGGAGAGAGTAGAGCTGCCCTGATCTTCTGGGCTTTTTCTGCTTCCTCTCCCCCCTCCTCTACAGAAAAATCCCTGTGGGTTCCTGAGGTGAGGAAGGGGATGGGGGAAGAGCTCTGGCTGCCACATCTGATTGGTCGCATTTCCCAGGAGGCAGGGCCATTGGGAAGGCACTCAAATCATTGGCAGTCTCTTCAGATCCCATCAATTGATGGGTTTTTCTCATAAAACTGTAGGAGATCTGAAAACCTCTAGTCCACCAGGTAGTCAACAGGTGAACCGTGGGCCAAATCCGGACTGCCACATGCTTTTGAATGGACCCCAAAATCTTTTAATTTACTTATTATCATTGTTTTTATTATTATTATTATTATTATTTTCTCTGAACCTTGACACTATACCTTTAACCAAGAAATGTGGACCTTGACAAAAAATAATTGACTACCCCCACCCTAGTCTATGAGGAAAACTGAAGAGTTGGCAGATCTGGGAAGGGGAGAGTTGTTTCTCGATATTGCCAGCCCTGTAGCTTCAACAATCATGAATCAGATACCCTAAAATCATAAGATTGGCTTAAATGTTATGAGATTTTACAAAGTAATAAATGTTGAGTTCTGTTTATTTGCCTTCAAGTGTCTGAGCCTTTAGAATGCAATCAGGTCACATTTTCAAGTTTTTTTCCACAACCGTGAGGGCTATATTATTTTAAATGAAACTTGAGATTCTTACACAATCTCTTGTCTCCAGGAACTGGGGCTTTAAGTAACGAATCAAACATTATCAGACTTATAATAAAATTGTGGAAGTTAGCCATACTGTAACAACAGAAACAATTCAATGGGCCAGATCATGGAGTATGGCTAAATTGCACACTGCTGGTCAAGAGGTGCTGTACACAAGTGGCTTATCCTCTCCTAATCCTGCAGTAGCTCTGTGTAGGGCTGTATAACTTACCATGCTGCAATACCCCCAAGGGGCCAAAATGAATCCAAGGACTAGTGTGGTGCAGGGGCATCTGGACCTCACCCCCTTTCATCTGTAATGCTCTTTTTCTCTGCTATACAGACCACACTGGGGGAATGTAAGAGCTCTTATATGGGCTCTAGACCATGGGAGGATCACCTTTGCATTAGGTACCAAATTACAAAAACAGCACTGTGTAAAGCGACCACATGGCACAGAAGAATCTGGCTCATTTAGTTTTCAACACAGTCCAGACTCCAGAAAAGCTGGGGAATATGTACCTCTCATGCCATACAGATGTGACACCTCTTCTCTAGGCTCAAGAAAGGAAAACTCCATTCCTGTTGTGCATTTCTGGCAAAACAACTGATATCACATGACTGGACAGAAAAATAACTTTAAATGTGATCCAGTGAAACAACTTTTTTTTTCCTGAGGCAGAGAGAGAATAAGCTATGAAACAGAGTTGAAATAGTTACCAATTTCTTAAGAAAAAGAAAGTAAGAAAGAAAGAAAGAGAAAAACCTTCAATCCCCTTTGCCATCAAAACAGACACGCAGCATTTATTTTATTAGGTCCCAGTCCTGCAGTTGCTATCAACTGGGTGGATTGCTGAAGCCCCGAGAAGCACCACTGAAGATTAGGCTCACTAAAGTTCACCACTTAAGTTCAGGCTCACTAGTCTTTCTGTGTGGATCACAATGTACCATCAGGCCTTAGTTAGGTTTGCGTTGAGCTCCAGCCTGCATAAAAAGAGGGGAAATGACAGAATTTAGCAAGATAATTTACTATTTTAATTTACTATCACATATTCAAGGGCAATATTCTTTTTTACATTTGTATAACAAAAGCTCCTTTAAAATACTGTAGTCTTAACATACAAAGTAACTAAAAGACCAGAAACCCAGTGCTGCAGAACATTGACCTACAGTGACACTGCTATGGTAGTAGCCCACTCCTATACTGCTTAGATCAGACGATTCTGACTTCTGCAGAAAAACATAATATAGATTATGTAAAGCAAACATGCCAGCGCTTAAAAAGCTACTACCTGTAGAAAAGCAAAATGCTCAAATTTTCCAGATAATTCTACCTGTCAGTTAATCATGAACATTGGACATTGAGTAGCCAAACTGAAATTTTCATTGGAAAGCAAGATTAAAATTTGGAAAGCATTTTAAAAAACAAATAAACATGTAATTTTCGGAATGCATAAAGAAATAAAATTATATGGTTTTCCAACAATGCCTTTAAATACTGAAGAAATAGGACTGGTATCCTTGAAAATATCTAAGCAGTGTGTTGAAATCTCATCGTTTCTCTCTTCATTTGCTCACGCCTTCTTACCCCTACTGTCATGAGGGGAAAATGATATGGGGTTAAATAGAAAGCCTGATTCTGATCTCCTTTATGCTATTTTTCTTGTGTCTCATACCTGTATCACATTGTGTACAAACATAGGCCTTGGCAAGTTAAGAGGTATGTCCCTGATGCCAAGACACAATGTTGTTTGTCTCATGGACAGAAAAAGAAAATGTAGAGTGTGTGTGTGTGTACCCGGGAGCATTGGAGGTGGCTTCAGAAGCAAGGAAATTAATTAACTTATGTAGGAAATACTTTTCTCATCACTGTTGTCAGTTCAGAGAAGCACCTTCAAAAAGTCAGATTACCAATAGTAGAGAGGAAAATATCCCTACAAACTATGGATACCCTAAATCCCACTGTGTTTGGAGATGTCTGATTTGTCACAAACCATCTCTCTACTTTGTCTTTGGTGGATTAATCTCCACCAGCCCTGCATAGTTTCAGCAATAGCACTGGGAGCAGAGGGGATTTCATGGCAGGATGGCTGAGAGCAGGGAGGGGGTTGGATGTATGTCTGGATGAGGCTTGGCTGGGGTGGGGAGAAAGGCTGTGCCCATGAAATTCTGCATCCCTACAAAGCCCCATAAGGTTCATTCAAGCCGGAGTGCAGCTTGCTTGTTGAGGGCCCACACTGGCCCTTGCAACTCTTGAAAACAGGAAGCAAAATTGTGTCCCTCTGGGCATGTGCAGGCACCTGCATCAGCGCAGGGATGAATCTGGCCTAGAGAGTCTCATCAGCTGCTTTATGGTCAAGATGTGTGGAGGGCCAGAAGAGGCTGAGGAGTTCCCTTTTCACCTACAGAGACACTCAGATACTGCAAAGGCACTTAGAGATGTGGGCTATATAAGAACCTAGATAACTTGATCATGGCCTCTCTATCTCCGCTCCCAGCCTGTGGAGGTAGTTGTAATCCTTGGATTACGCTAGCTCAAACTGAGCCACTTGCACGAGGAAGAGAGAAGGGACTAGAAGGAGAAGAGACTCAGTCAGAGCCCAATACAATAGGAGGGGTTGAATGGATCCCAAAAAACCTTGGCTGCAAACCTCATTTTAATTTCCTGTGGATGACAAGTGGGAATTTTGGATCTGATAGTTCCCCATCCTTGATGGCTGACCAGCTCTGTCACAGTGGGGATATGGCAGCCCCAGAGCAGCCATCTGGCTGCTGCTGAAGAGTATCTCGTCTCCAAATCTGATTTGCATGGATTATACCCAAACCTATAAACTGACCCAGGTTCACTCAAAAATTGGCCCAGGCTTACTCAAAATTCAGCCCAGCTTCACTGAAAGGTTCACAATCCTTGGCAGAGTTTTGACAACCCTTGCCCAAATTTCAAGTTTCTAATGACACCTAATAAATTTCACTTGGTTTTGAGTTTCATTATAAAAGTTTTGCACAGCTTTATGTATCTGCTTGTTGTGTTGTCTGCCTCAAATCCCTCTAAACTATCATATTACTATTACTTAAAGGAATTACTGAAATTATGTAAATATACTTTACTCTTTAAATATTTCCTTTAGAAATGATCTTCTATTGTACTTATGCAAAACTTGTAAGCAGGCCTATACACCATAAAAGAAATATATATATATATACACACACTGAACATACAGGAAAACCAAAAGCAACTCTAGGCAAATAAAAAGTTGTCCATTTCTAGAAATAAAATCTCTCTCTCTCTCTCTCTCTCTCTGTTGCTCTCCCATCCTCCACCAAATCTTCAGTTCCTGGAAGCCATTTGAAACAGGAAATTATAGGAAGATACGCACCGATTTCCAGTTCTTACATATTCTGATATGTATAGATACTGTATCACATTCACAAACTAAATTATGTTCACCGATAGCACTTCTAGTCCTACAGCATATGTGCAAAGTTTGGTGTTTTGTTGTACACTATAAGGCAGATAATTGTCAGCTGGTGAGCACCCAGATATCCTGGCAATGAAGGCTGCACACGGACAGGTAGATTAGTTTAGAATACCTTAGATTTCAAACATTTTTTCTGCTTATCTGGAGTTATCTTCCAGTATCGCTATCTTGGACAATTAAATACTTGGGTCATGTAGTGAATAAATTACATATTATTCTCTTCCTTTGGGATAATAAAATAATCCTCCACTTAAAACACATTAAACAGTTTATCTCACACTGCAGTTTACTACAAAACTCAAATGCAGTTATGGATAACTGTTGACAATATCAATTTGTTAATGTTGTATGACCCAATCCTGCAGCCCCATGTGAACAAGAACTTCAAGATCAGGCCTGGATCATTTAATAAACGTGAACACTAGAAATTTAGGCATAAAGAAAATCCATGGAATCCTATAGAATTAGGATCCTATCTGAGATTTTGCTGTAGTCACCAGAAGTTAAGTTTTTTATTTGAAAAGAAAAATGAAGTTTTTTTTGTTCTGGTTGAAAAGTTAACCTTCACAGAGTAAACTGATACAGTGCCATCTTATTGACTCTCGTGTCTATATTGAGGCTATAACAACACCAGGAGAGGTGTGAACTTTCACATTCATTTTAACAGAATGTTAACTTTGAATCTTAATAATGGCCTCCTAAATGTCAGCACTATTAATTACACTTTGCAAATCCTATCTGCCCCCTCCAAGGATTAGAACCTCAGCGAGGTGATAGTTGAGTTGAGAAGATCGTTACTGTCTTATGTTGGGGAGAGTTATTTGACATTGTGTTATCTTAGATTTAGTTACCAAATGTATTTATATTATGAATAGCACATGCATCTCGCATATCTTGTACAGAAACAATATATATTTTGAGTAAATAAAAATAAACAGACACTTTGCTGGGGAATGACCTGGCAGAGACATCCAGTGCAATTAAATATACCTTGCATGTTTCATTTATCTGAGGGTGATCTAGTATATCACGTATCAGAGCGGTAGCTGTATTAGTCTGGATCTGTAAAAGCAGCAAAGAGTCCTGTGGCACCTTATAGACTAACAGACGTATTGGAGCATGAGCTTTCGTGGGTGAATACCCACTTTGTCGGATGCATATCACGTGCATTTTCCAGCAGCAGCAATAATATAGGAAGATAAACTATTACTTGGAAGATGTCATTTCCATTTTTCTCTTGATGATGACTGGAAAACCAAACAAACTAAAAAGCTATAAAAGTCAGCAGACAATTACATTTTAAAAAATTAAGTATGTTTTGTATTTTCTCTGTTTTACAGGCAAACTATCTAAACTGATACAAAAGTTCTTAACTTCCTCATCTGAACAGGCCAAATAGAATTGTTATGATCACATCACAAATTACAAGACTGTAACTACTGGTTGGAAAACATGGCCACCATTATACATAGTAATAACAGTAACCTGGCGGGAGAGGAAGGGCAGGATGTCGTTGTCAAGTTCTAATCTCACTGTTTTCCATGCAACCCTGCAAAACAGAAACCATCACCTCAGAGACAGAAATGTTACTTAGGGTATGTCTACACTGCAATTAAAAACCCACAGCTGGCCCATGTCAGCTGACTTAGGCTCACAAGCCTGGGCTGTGGGGCTGTTTAGTCGCAGTGTAGACGTCTGGGCTCGGGCTGGAGCCCAGGCTCTAGGACAGTGCAAGGTGGGAGGGTCCCAGACCTCCGGCTGCAGCCCAAGCCCAAATGCAATTAAGCAGCCCCACAGACTGAGCCCCGCGAGCCTGAGTCAGCTGGCACAGACCAACCATGGATGTCTAATTGCAGTGTAGACATACCCTATGTCTCGGTACAACTACATGCTAGACACCCTTGCAATGGAACAACCAATTCCAGACTGTAGCCCAGTTTAGATCCAGAATAGGCCATTGCAGAGGCATGCCTATAGTCCCAAGCCAAGTAATTAGCTGAGTTTTATTTTAGTCGTATCATTATTGTTCTATTATGAAAAATTATGAAATTATTGGTTGTAGTTGTAGTTGGCCAGATGCAGTGCTCCAAACTTGTTGGCCTCTTCTGGAAGGCTGAAGAAAAAGGCTTCCAAGAAAGCCATGTGGAATGTACAGTACTTGAAAACTGACATAAGAGAAGCAACTGCGATAACTTAGACATCTTTGGTGCTTGTTCTTTTATACCTGACTCCATTCCCTGACCATCTTCCATCATCCTGTATATGGCAAGATTATCTGTGCATGAAGGGAAATCTCAGCCAAGTGGAAAGGGAGGCCATGGTCACCAGAAACCTCAAACTTGTCCAGGTTGTACTAGCTGAGCACATAGTTACCTGTTTTATCTCTGAAACAGACAAATAACTGTATCCCATTATTGGGTCCCAAGCACTTTGCTGTTGCCTGGGAAAATAATATTTTCCATCCTACCCAAAGTTAATGGTCAAGTGCCCAAGTGGTGTCAAGCA